CGCGAGACGCGGATCTCCGCCGGACGGACGGCGGGGAACCCGCTGCTGCAACGCCGGCTGGAGATAGTCGCCGATGGTCGCTGCCGGTGTAATACGCGGTGGCGGTAGTGGGCCTCTCCAGATGTTCTTCCATGGCGCCTTGATCCGCCGAGGAGGGGGCGGCGCTGGTGAAGGCAGAGGCGCCGGAGATGATGATCGAGGGGCCGGGGTGGAGGTCACCGTCGCCGGAGAGATTCGTAGCGAGGTGGGTTCGGCATCACCAAGTTCCTCGCACTCCGAGTCAGTATCCGAATCGGAATACCAAAATTTGCCAGCGCGTTGATCTTGATCCGCACCGCTAGGCTCAGTCGCTGTTATCTTCCTCAACGCACGTCGTGTCACCGGGGCAATCTTCACGGATGGCATCCTCCATGCCAGGGAGGTCACGGGGCGGTGAGATGTGGCCACCGCCGGCTTGCCGGCGGTCGCCGCTCCACAGCCGTTGGAAGCAGGTTGAACGCTGCCGTGAGTGTTGGAGACACAAGAGATGTATTAGACAAGAGTAAAGACCAAATGATCGGCTCACCCTGGAGCGATTCTTGCTGCACCAGGAAGCTATAGCGACAGCTGAATGGCCGGGCTGCACCTGAGACTGTGACAGGTTGCCCATGTTATGCAATGCAAGGGCGATTACGTGCACGAAGAGAGGAACAGTAGTGGTGGACAGTGAACGACTGGACGTGGACTGCACAGACTGATGGAGAGGTTTTGGCCGCGAGCACAAGCACAACCCGGAGAAAGAGTTTGACGGATTGAAGTACAATGACCAGCAGACGATGGATTCGTTTGTCAAAATTAGAGATGTCAACAGGTATATACGAAAACCATTTTACCCTATTAGAGCAAGGATATAGACTAATGTCTCTACCCATAATAGGTTTTTAATGGACAAAAATCCAGACCAAGTGGATTTGTGGGTGTGGGTCTGAGGGTGTAGTACGCAAACATGTAAACCTATAGTTTTTAAAACCGTGGTCTATCATAGAAGAGTAGCTCATTTTAGTCCACAATACTCTAATTTTTTCAACTAGATTGATCCACTTAGAGATGTATATAAGACGGTCTTCCCATTCCAAACCTTAGCTTAGCTCACTTCTTCCCTCCTCATGCAATCCAGCCATACTACGGTGGCAGTGGCACGTATCTAGATCATGCATTGACTAAGGTTCTGACCATATATATATATATATATATATATATATATATATATATATATATTGGCAGTGGCACGTATCTAGATCATGCATTGACTAAGGTTCTGACCATATATATATATATATATATATATATATATATATATATATATATAGGGTAAGGCTATTCTGCAGCTGGACATAGAATAACTTATTCTATAGCCACCTTGATTTACTATAATGTTTGTACCAATTTACGAAAATATGAATATGCATTTACGATACTCGTGTTACTACAACTCACGGTGATATTTACCATAATGTTATAGTAAATCACTTAGTAAGGAGTTACTGTAGTCTCGTAAATTAGCATAGTAAATATCGTAACTCAAAGTGGCCACAGAATAAGTTATTCTATGGCCAGCTACGGAACAGTAGAACTACTATTCTGCAGCTGGCCATAGAATAACTTATTCTGTGGCAACTTTGAGTTACGATAATTACCATGCTAATTCATGATATTACAGTAACTTCTTACTAAGTGATTTACTATAACATTATCGTAAATATCACCGTGAGTTGTAGTAATACGAGTATCTTAAATGCATATTCATGTTATCGTAAATTGGTATAAATATTATCGTAAATCAAGGTGGCTATAGAATAAGTTATTATATGGTCAGCTGTAGAATAGCCTTACCCATATATATATACACGTACTGTTCTGTAGCTGGCTGCAGAATAAGTTATTCTGTGGCCACTTTGAGTTACGATAATTACTATACTAATTTATGAGATTATGGTAACTCTCTCGTAAGTGATTTGCTATAAAATTATGGTAAGTATCATCTTGAATTATAGTAATCCATGTATCGTAAATGTGTATTGTCATTATCGTAAATTGGTACAAACATTATCGTAAAACACAAAGTGGCTATAGAATAAGTTATTCTGTGGCCAACTACAGAATAGCCTTACCGTGTGTGTGTATATATATATATATATATGAACTATGGTGGTTGGATGTTGTATGATTGGTGAAATGTGATTTCTCATTTATGTTTTTTTCATTGTACTATGTAATATGTAAATATGGTTATGTTAATTATGAATATGTATTATACAACTATCTGCTTATTGGTGGTGACGTGGCTTGCTTGCGTTGCGGACACGGACGATTCGTTGGGTACCCATGACCCAAGTGGGCATGAATCGATGCACAAAACTAAACCTAGAACGGGTCATGGGTTTTTTAACAGACACATTTTGTGTTCTTGGGCATGCATGGGTTTGGGTTGGTAAAACCCGACCAATCGGTGTCCACTACCATGTCTAGTCTAAATGCATTTAGCAGTGTTCATAAATTTTGGCGTGTCAGGAGAATAGAAGTGCGTGCTTGGACTAAAGTTATAATGCGACAGCTATAAAAGAAAAGAAATTTTAATATATTCAATGTGATAAGCTATAGTTGAGGTCTACCTAAAATCCAGAAAGAGAGGTTGATTGATAAGTCAGGCGACGTCTCGATAGCTAGTAGCAGTAAAGAGGCATGCGTACAACAAATGCCCTGTTCACTTGGCTGATAAGTCATGACTGAAAGTACTCACTACTGGAGACGGCTTCTTTACCGAGTGCTTTTTATCGGGCACTCGGCAAAGAGGCTGTTTACCGAGTGCCAGAGATAAAGCACTCGGCAAACAACTGACACTCGACAAAGAGGTGGTTTGCCGAGTGCTGAGCACTCGGTAAACAATAACACTCGGCAAAACTGGCTTTGCCGAGTGTTATTCTCCTGACACTCGGCAAAGGCCCGCCGTCGTTAACGGCCGGCGGCCTCCGTTAACCCTTTGCCGAGTGTCTTCTTCTGACACTCGGCAAAGCGGTTATTTGCCGAGTGTCATTTTTTTTATACTCGGCAAACCATATTTTTTTCATTTTTGACCTCCAAACTTTTTCTGCAGTCCTCATACAATACCTGGTGCTCCATGTTCCAATGTGGCACATTTCTCGGACTTTTTCTATATTTTTTTAATTTATTTCATTTAATTGAATTTTCTTGGATAATTCAAATTATAACTGCTAGTCACTCGAATAATGAAAAAATGAATGGAAAAATGATATTCATGTTTTTTAGTATAATGTGAGGCCGTATCCAGGACCAGACCACCAATTTCGAACATCTTGTTCACGAAACATGACCACGAACTCGCGGTCGAGTTGTTTTTAAATTCTATAAAAAGCAAACGAAGTCCGAAAATCATAAAACTTGTCAAGATGTCATGATATCATGTGGAGGCTGTGATAAAAATTTGAGAAGGTTTCGCGCAAGTTGTCACGTACGATGCTTGCAAACCGAAGAATCTCCGAAGAAGTTTCATGATTTCGTGAAGAGGCCGACGAGGTGGGCAAGCATCGTACGTGACAACTTGCGCGAAACCTTCTCAACGGCGCTTGGCAAAGGTCGCTGTTTGTTGAGTGTCTTGGCGGCAGCACTCGGCAGAGTGGGCAACTTTGACGAGTGTTTGAGTCAACGGCGCTCGGCAAAGAGATGACCTTTGCCGAGTGTTTGACCTTGACACTCGGCAAAGCCGCCGTCACGACGACTTTTTTTTGCCGAGTGTCAGATTAGCACTCGGCAAAAGTTTTGCCGAGTGCCCGATAAAGTGCACTCGGCAAAGAAGTCTTTGCCGATCAACTGTTTACCGAGTGCCCTTTGCCGAGTGTAACACTCGGCAAATGCTTTGCCGAGTATATATCAGCCTTTGCCGAGTGCCCGCCTCCGGTAGTGACTATTGGCTGATTTGTTGTGAGAGAAAAATATTGTTTGTTGGCTGAAAAAATACGGCTTATAAGCCAAGCGAATAGGGGAAAAGCCATTACCTCACCCTTTTTCTTTCGGCGTGTTTTTTTAATAAAAAAAATGTCGTACTGAATTGCTTCTACTAGTACATGTCACAAGTGCTAAAGGAGATGTTGTTTTAATCAAAGAAAACCTTTGGGCGCCGCTCATCACCTCTAGTTTGTCGGTTCATGAGAGAAGTCAGAGGGTGGACGATGTCGCATGCATCATCTCTACAGAAGTACTACTAGTCCGTACAGATCATACATGAGTCATCGTATATAGGTGCAGTCATGCGTGTGCGCGTGCGGCGCGCCGCTGAAAGGCAAGACCAAGATGCATTTTACCTCGTCCGACCAGTATCCTGAGTGCAGACATGTGTGTACTACAGGTCAAAAGGCAGAGATCGATTGTGTTGCTAAACTATTTCTTTGCCAGCACAATCTCTGCCACTGCACAAGGACAGTCGGTGAATCATCTTCGTCGACAGGAGACGACACCACAGACCTGAACCAGAAAACAGGTCGCAGCTCAAACGACCCGGCATGGCGGCTGCCTTTGAGTTTGCACTTGCACGAACAGGGCAAGAGCAGCAACGCACGCTCAAGGCCGGTGTTGGCGAGAAACAAGCAAGGCAACAGCGAGAGGGAATTGAGACACGAAAGAGAGCGCGCGAGGACGCAAGTCAAGATTCCCCAGAGAAAAGGCGGCCACGGCAGGCACGCTTTTGGCTGCCGTGTTGCGGTGCCCCGTTATCCCCAAGCCGCTCCTGGCCGGCGTTGATCTCCTCCTCCCTTCCGCTTATATAAGCCCTCCCGGCTCCTCGAGACATAGCACCGCATGCTCGGACATACCACGCGCGGCACCACAGCTAGCCTACCCGGCCACTGTGCTCGATCTGCAGATTCACCAAGCTAGCTATACCGCCATTCCCCGAGAGAGTAGAGTCGTGTTGGCTTGGTCGATCGAGAGCCGGCCGGTGGAGCGTCATGGAGATTGATCAGATGGAGAGCGGTGCCAATGGAGCTGGCGGCGGCGGCGGCGGGTTCTGGCGGGCGCGGTGCTGGGAGCTGCTCTGCTCGGCGGCGGTCATGCTCCGGGCCAAGGTCGTCGGGTTCGCCCGCAAGCTGGCCAGGATCGCGAGGGACGACCCCCGGCGGGTGGCGCACTCGCTCAAGGTCGGCCTGGCGCTCACGCTGGTGTCCGTGCTCTACTACGTCAGGCCGCTGTTCAACAACTGGGGCGTCTCCACCATGTGGGCCGTGCTCACCACCGTCGTCGCCATGGAGTACACCGTCGGTACGTATACGTACGTCGTGGTACGGTGTTGCACATCATTTCATCGCACACAAGCAGCTAGCTAGCTAGCCGTACGTAGCCGTGTTCCGTACAAGCGAGCTATCGATATATGCTAGTAGATTATAATTAAAAAAAACTACTCCTTGTCCTATATGATGGGTTTTTGGTGCGGGTGTTCACGTGACAGGTGGCACGCTGTGCAAAGGCCTGAACAGAGCGTTCGGGACGCTGGTCGCCGGCTTCATCGCCGTCGGGGCTCACAAGGTGGCCTACCTGTGTGGCGACAAGGCAGAGCCCGTGCTGCTCGCCATCTTCGTCTTCTTACTATGTACGAAGTTACGTTTTGTGTCCATGCACGTTTGTTACCCTGCCGTGTCTGTATATGACCATTTTTACCACACCGCGTGGCCATGGTGTTGCATGCACTTGTTGCAGCGTCGGCGGCGACGTTCTCGCGGTTCATCCCGGAGGTGAAGGCGCGGTACGACTACGGCGTGACCATCTTCATCCTCACCTTCAGCCTGGTGGCCGTGTCGAGCTACCGCGTGGACGAGCTCATCCGGCTCGCGCACCAGCGCTTCTCCACCATCGTCGTTGGCGTCGCCACCTGCCAGACACCACCATCTTCATCTTCCCGGTCTGGGCGGGGGAGGACCTCCACAAGCTCGCCATCGGAAACCTCAACAAGCTGGCCGAGTTCTTTGAAGGTACATACCTACCACTCCATGTCTCCATCCAAAAGGTTTACAACCTCACGCACGTGTATATAACTATCTACACCATGTGTATTGTAAATTAAAACGAATTGAATTCTCATGCGTTCCATGACAAACAGTAGCGTAGTAGACCTAGGATTTCAAAGTTGGCTATGTCTTAGTCAGAGAAAAGCACTTATAATTTATGAAATCTACTGTCAACGAAGCAAGGACTTGCAAAAGAAAAGAAAGAAAAACTTCCCGTAGATTCGTAACATACTAGAGAGTTAATTTGGGACTAAAAGCTGTACACGTACGTATGCAGGAATCGAATCTGAATGCTTCAGAGAGAACGCAACATTCGAGAATTTGGAAGCTAAACCCTTTCTCCAAGTGTACAAGAGCGTCCTCAATTCCAAGGCCACCGAGGACTCTTTGGTAAGCTCACCTAACTTTGCAAACCATGCGTGCACTTTATGCAGAGCACCAAATTAAGATCCTGAATCCAAAAATTATAGAAGTAAACAATCCGACCCAATGGCATGTGTTCCCAAAACTGCAGTGCAATTTTGCCAAGTGGAAGCCTTGCCATGGCAAATTCAAATTCCGGCACCCATGGAGACAATACCAGAAGCTCGGTGCTCTTTCTCGCCAGTGCGCTTCTTCAATGGAGGCTCTTGCTTCCTATGTCATCGCCCTCACAAGAACTGAGGTAACTGCAGATCCATCTATTTCGTGATCAATGGATTACAGGACCATGTTACTCACCTACAGCCTTTCACTGCTCACAGTATCCTGAAGCGCATCCGGAGCTATGCTTAGAGGTTCGAACAGCATGCCGTCAGATGAGCTTGCACTCGGCCAAGGCACTCCGAGAACTCTCAGCTGCGATGCGGATGATGACTCTACCATCCCCAGCCAACGTTCACATGTCTGCAGTAATCAAAGCAGCAAGAGGCCTCAGAGACGAACTTTCAGAGGATGCAGATCTGGTGCAAGCGATGCATGTTGCTGTTATTGCATCTCTTCTCTCAGACTTGGTTACGAAGACGAAGCAGATCACAGAATCTGTTGATATCCTTGCGCGACTTGCCCGCTTCAAAAACCCTGAAAACACTCAGAAGGATTTGGCTGTCAATGTAGTGCTTTGAGAAGCAGACAATCTTCGGTGGGACTTGACTAGTGATGTTCTATATTGGACATGGAGAATATCTGTATCAGAAGCCTTTGCTAAATGGGATAAAAGTAAGCTAGTATGAAGTACAATACTAAATGTGCATACAGCAAGTGACAAATTCTTCGTTTTATAGAAGTAATTATGATGCTGAATTGTGATGATAAATGTCACTGTCTTCCACAGTTGGATAGCAATTAGCTTTTCTCAGCAGACGAAAAAAAAACAATCTTCTTCTAAATATAACGGAAGAACAACAATAAATTACCTCTCGATGTGTAGCAGTACTAAAGAAACAGTAAGCCAAGAATCATTATTCCAAGGTGTGATGTTAAAGTAACAGATATACGTGAAATTCCGCATAACAAATATTAATCTCATGCATGGCAGTACATATCTAGTCAAAAACAGATCTCATAACAACTCACACAAAGTTCGCCAACATCATCCCTTTCCTTATGCTAACTTTCCAACTATAAATTCTTCTTAAGATTAAATAATTCTTCAAGGAGCTGGAAATAAGAAGACGGCTTGCCGATAAGCAATAAGCGGATGTGCCGTTACAACTTACAAGTGCCAGTGCATTTCATTATCAATGGTCAGGTCAGCTATGGACACAACAGTGATAAGCATGGAAAATTTGCACAAAAGAAATTAGTTAGTGGAACTTTGCACTGTCAAGCACTAAATACCAAGTTATACAGGAAACATACACACTTGCCTTTTGAGGATAGAACTTTTCAAAAGGATCTAATAGGTCATAACTCATAACCATATCAACCATCAGTTATGGGGCACAGGGTATAGCGTGCAAAATTGGCTATAATAAAGCAACTACTTAGTTCAACTATGCACTGTCAACCACTAACGCGAAGTTGCTCAGGAAACAAATAGACTGACTTTTCAAGGATAAACTTTTGAAAAGGATACAATAGACCAAAGCAATAGAAATTTCTTCAGCAGTGTATTAGTTAATTTCTATGAACTAATATGTCTCAGATTATGTGCTGGGGTTTTGGCTTTCTAACTCAAAGATCAAAGAGGTAGAATCATAGACAAAGTTGTACTCTATGCACTACTTACTGCCATGATTTGAAATGTTCGCTACTAGGCTTCATTCAAAGATCAAAGAGGTGAGCATCATACTTTAAAGTCCTAAATCCTGCAGTCAGGAGCAGCCTAAACATTTTGCCTTTCATGTACAATTCCCTAGATTATCCTAAATTAATTGTTAACATTTTATAAAACAACAAAGAATCAAGATAAAGATCATCACTGCTACAGAGGAACCTATTTCAGTAGTGTTTGATGGCATATTGTTTATCCTATATCAGTTCCACTTTTAAGTTGCCAATATACACCCGTCTTGGGCCACATCAGCAACTCAGCATTATGCTTTTGCTTCCTTTTGTACTTTCATACCCTTGGCTCCAGTGTACAAGCTGACATAGATAATGGGTCTTATGTATACTGGACTGTTTTCATCTATAGCACCAGAAAAAAATTGCAGAACAAAAAAAGAAGTAACAAAAACTAAATGTAGCAAAGATAAATGTGCCAGGGTCCATTCGACAATTTTGTAAATGAGGCACAGGAAATTTGAAGATTAAGGACCATAGTTAGGTTACATACCAAGTAATGGAAAGAATACCCAAGCTTCCTTGATCGAGAGAATTGCAATTTCATAGGTTAGTAAGGAAATGGAAGTAATTTTCGAATCAATAATATCTTAATTTCTCTAGTTACTGAATCTTCAGTTTGAGTATTGTTGCTTCAGCTAGTCACACCTACAGACAGCTTTTTGAACAAACTATGGCAGAGGAAACTGAAACAGGTCACAATCCTTACTGCCCTAAAAGACTCCATCAGAGTACAGGCACCGGTAATTATGTGAACTGCATAATGGTTGTATACGCATACCTCTGATGAAAGATCATTCAACTACATAACTAACCTATTTGGAGAGTGAAGAGGAATATAATTACAGTCAAAGAGTGAAACAAGACAAGTTCCTCATGGACCCTAAGAATTACCAAGACTCTACAAAAGTTCATGCTCCTGTCAGTACACGGGAACTGGATCACTTAATATGTACATACCTATGGAGAAACATCCTTCAACTATACATAGTTCAATGTGAACTGGTTCAAATCACCAGCCATATACAGGGTGTTGAACTTGAGGAGGCAGGAGGTTCAGATCAATGCACTGCTGTTTATCATAGTCACGTGTGCCAGGAATTGCCCCGTCGCTAATCTGAGGAATTAGGTTACCAGTCAGGCAGTGATGAGCAAATGCCAGTCCCCATCCACCACATCTGACAACTTAGGAAGTAACGGTATCTTTCTTTCTTTGTTAATCTTCCCATTTCGTCCAGGGTGGCTATTTCTGTTCAGAACTTTGTCAAGCTCTGAGTACTCCATAAACCTCTCAGTTGCTGCTTCCCATGACAAACTGTATCGTTGCTCTGGGGTCAGAGGTTGAGGTTCAGTAGTCATGGCTTCTTTGACACGAGCAACAAATTCCTCTGAAGTTCTATATGTTAAGCAGTTAGGGAATGACTTAAAAAAATCGTTTGATGGATGATCTGCACAGACTACAAATTTCCCCATTGCAAGGGCCTCAGCTGTTGCTGTGCATAGCACATCACTAACACTTGGATTGACGAAAACCTTATACCTGAAAATTCAACAGAAGAAAACAGATACCAGTATCAGCAATCTGCATAGGACAAGACAAAGATGAAAGTGAACTCCTTTTAGTAGCTTCGATGCTTCATAGAACCTTACCCATGGAGTGAATCATCTGCATGGTCCTTTTCCTTGAAAAAATTGATGCTCAAATCAAATTTTCTAGCAGCATTCTGGACAGCTTCAGAGTCCTCGCCATTTCCATATACATCTATCATGAATCCTTCCAGGTCGTTTTTATGTTTGGATAATAAATCGATCAGCTCTCTATAACCTTTAGCCCACACCATCTTACCAAGGAAATATGCCCTTAGAAAAGACCTTCTGTCCACACTCCCTATCAGCTGCTATTTTCTCACCAACATTAAGAAACTTTGGATTTACACCATGTATGCGTTACAAACAACAGACCTCGGTAGATCTTGAGTTGCAGCAGAAAGACGTAAAACCTGCATGCACCCATTATTAGCTGAGTTCTCATGAACAGGACTTTAACACAAAAACTGACCTAAACAAATACCTTATGGCAGTATGCTCTAGTCACCCAGTTATTGATATGTTTAACAAGAAAAGATTGAATAGCACCATTTTTCTCTCTTGATATATTCCAGGTAATTTGTATGAACTACACCGATGACGTGATTGAACTTGTCAGTCCAACGCTTTCCATGATGATACCAGTTGAGATGCTCCGGTTCTTCTAAAATCGCTATATCAGCTTCTTTTGAGGAGATGAACTGTGAAGTATCCCCAGCAGGAATAATGCTGCGCGCTCTTTTGAGAACTGCAGAAATAACATCTCATGAGTAATGAAACCCAGGAAGAAAAAAAAAATACTATACTAGGGGACAGAACATAAACAGTGGGATCAGAAAGATTGTGTGTTTACCTTGCCAGGATAAAAGGATATCTTAAAATTTGCTTCAAAGCCAATTCTTTCCTGCAGCCAGTTCCTTATATAAGTTTCTTGCTCTTCTGGCGAACTGAAGGTGATGTTATTTGGGTAAACCAATTCTTGATCTGACTTAGAGAGCCATGGAACCACCAATGTCACCTTCTGCTTTGCACTTCTTGCCAGATATGCAGCACGAAACAATGGATTGATTGCTGTTCCTGTCATCCATGGAAGGCTTGCTGTGGTGACAATAGCAACATGCCGTCTGTTGTCTGAGATCTTGTACTTTGCAGGGTCATTCCAAGAACCTTCATCTGTGTGATAACCAGTACTTTCTAATACCCTAGCTATTCTTAGATCAAGCTCGTCAGTTATGTTCTCAGCTAAGGGTCTATCCTGTGAAAGAGAATGATACATGAGCCGACCGTTTCGTTTACTGCATAACATCTCCACTAGTTTGTCACAAAGGTCTGCACCATAATATTAGTAGGAATAAGATGGTCAGCAACAAGTACAAAGACTGGAGAGTCCAAACAAACAAATGATGTTCATACCTCTCCGTATGCCAAGTTGATCTAAAAATGGCCCAGATTGCCGAACCAGATATGCCACAATTTCAGTTAGATGCAGTGGTGGAACTTCCTATTCCAGCAGCAGATTAGAACAACACACTCTAAACAATAAGCAACCAGATCAACTAGCATAAGAAACTGCATTATCAGTTAATAATCAAAAGCCCTGAGAAAAGGTCTGCTTTTGTAAAGGCTTGAAAGCTACTTGTACTAAAGATAAAGAAGTATTTTGGCTCCATTGACATCTTATGCAAACTGCTTAGTAAGCATCAATACTTTCTACGGCATCATTGTTTTCTGGAACAGGTTCCGTTACAAAACGAAATTATGTCCTTAAAGTACTGCAGGTATATCTAGTATAAGCTTGCAGTTTGCAAAAATGATATACAACTATGCATATGGAATCTAGCTACGTCAGAATAAGTAACAGGGAAAATGTATCCCAATTCAATCATTAGCTGTTCTATATCTGCAGCACAGAATATTTCCAGCTATTATAAATTGTTTCTTATGCAATTACCTTGGATTCCTGATAGTCCTTGTTCAGTGATTTCTGAAAAAGAGGAAAAGGATTCATATTAATCTGTAATACTTTTCATCAACACCAGACATCAACTCTAGCATAGTGTAACTCAGTAACATGATAGCATCATTTTTTGTTAAAGACCCAATTGCTGATAAAAATCACCAAATACTTGTCTGATAACAAATAGTTGACCTATAAGATTTTGAACTCTGCTAATAAAGTGATCACTAAGCTAAGTGTACTCCAGGATGACTTTTCAGTAATATTTTTAAATATATCTAGAGATTGATGCTTATAGAAACACCTTACAGTATCAAAATAAATGCTGACATAAACAGTGTGCTATATTGTTAGTGCTAATATATTATGCACAAATTGAAATGTGTAGTGTAACAACGTCAAAAGATAAGCGCAGAAATCCCTAAGATTTCTTGCTGTGGATACCAATGTTTTGCTGCTGAAGCACTGTTTGTCAGTCACACCTCAGTTCTGAGTAAAGGACAACAACTAGCTAAAAAATACTTTCATTTCAATTTCCAAAGTGGTAGAACAAGCACGAGTGCACCATCCTATTAAATAAACGCTGTGGTTGAAAATTACCATGCTCAACAAATTTCTCCACAAACTCGCCACGGTCACGGAATCCAGCAAACATGTCGCTGGACAGGCTCCGGCGCTCGAACTCCTTGAGACCCGCGCTGTATCATCCGGACCACCTCACTCCTTCGTCCCTCCTCATCCTGGTCCCCCTTCCGCCGCGCGATCTCCATCTATCGTCGCCTTCCCCTTCTGGCACAACGGCGTTGCGAACAGCCCGTAATCCCGAGAGGTCGATGCGAAGGCTGCTGGTGCCAAAGCTGGCGGCTAAACCGGCCGGCCACCGGGCGTCGAGCGCCCGCGACGAAGTAGTGCCTCGGAGGGCTCCTGAATCTTGGGCTGGATCCGCTTCCGCACGAACTCGACCTCCGCGATGGAAGCTTGCCCGTGGCCACAGGGCGGCAGCAGCAGGGGCGCCAGCCCCTCCCGCGAGCGCCGACGCGGACGCGAGGAGGTGCTCAGAGCTCGCGTTAATCGGCGCGTGGCGCGCACGGAGTCACGCGCGCGCGCATTAGCTCCCTGGTCGGCGAGACGCCGAGTCCACCTCGCGCCACCCCTGCTGGAGATGAAGGCGAAGGCGCCGCCCGCCGCCTCCGGCAGGCGGCGTCTCTTCCTTAATACTACCCATTATTCTCCGGCGGCGAGCGGGCTTGACGGACGCGCGGAAAGCTTGGGTTAAGGGCTTTGTTGGTTCTAGAAGCGCGTTGGGCGCGTTGAGTCGCGCATGAGTTGGGGGGCGAGATGGTTCGGCAGGGAAGAAAGACGAGGAAGGCGACGGCGGTGTCAGTGACGGGGAGGCGCGCAGGTGGCAGCTTGGGTTGATTCCGGTGGGCGGGGCCCCCGTGTCAGGGAGGAGGGTGGTGACACTAGGAATGGTGGGTCCAGGGGAGATCTTGATGTGTGGTGGAGCGGTGACTTGGCACGGTGTTTGGTCGACGTGGACCCCCAGTTCGGAGCGAATATGCGCGTGGGTGCTGCCGGGTGCCGAACCGCCCTGGGTTTGCGGCTTGCCTGTTGTGTTGTCTTGCTCATATTTTTTCAT